ATGCTCGAGTAATTGAGAAATTAGAGTTCAAATTGTGTCAATGAGAAGATGTTTATGTGTTGCATGGAAAATTTGTATAGTTTGTCTCACATATTAAAATAAACAAGACTAATAATAGCTTATATATGACCACACTTTATGAGGTATAATTAGAAGCGGGTAATCGAACCTCCCAAATCATAATTGGAGGTCCAGTCCGATTCCATAAGAATAAATAAGAAACCAGAATTGAGAATTGAATGGATTCGTCAATTTTTGATTCTTGAATCGAAACTGTGAGTACTCGACTCTTGAACCAAACTCGTCCTCTCTTATAAGTTTTTGTCTTTTACAATTTGTTTACCCTGTTCCAATGACTTGGCCCAGCAAAAGCAAGTTTGCAAGGTCCAACAAATAATAAGTTTGCAAGATCCAAGTAGTAAGTATCATGTTCAACGATATTTTGTCATTGTGCGCGCCCCCACAAACTCTTCTTGAGGCGTTAGACGCAGAGTCAAAATCGAAATTGATGCAAATATACTAGATATTGGGTATTGTTTAGTGACATATTTACACTGAATTAAGAAATTGTTAAAACATGTATTTGGTGTCATATTGTATTTCTCTATTTCTTCTTGATATTAGGAAGATAATTTGTATTGTCAAATCATAATTCTTTTAAAAAATATTATGGAGAGAATCATACACGAAAAGGAACCGATTATTCGGGTTTAAGTTTTGTTTCAATAATTACAAGGTTCCGAACTGTTTCATTTATGAAATATTCAAATTGTAATTGGTGGTATAGGGTATAGAAACACTCGAACCGAAACATCCGATGCCCAAGTTTAGATATAATCATGTGTAGTATAGAGGTTTTTTTTATGTGTGGGCATGGGCGGNTGATTTTGATTTTGCTGAGGATCGAATTCGTTTGGGTAGGCTTGAGGAAGGAAATGAAATGGGTTTAAATGTTTGGGCTTTCTCCCTTGGATTGGGCTGTCCAGCTGGGCTCTAACTTAAAAAAAAAAAAAAAATTTTGAGCACAAAGTTCAGGGTGGGCCTGTGCCCATCCTGGGCTATACTGGGCTCCGCCCCTGTGTGTGGGAGCAAGAAGAATGTAAATTACAGATCGATTAGCACCTCAGGCCGTAGAACTTATGTGCGATCACGACCTGTGTACACGAATGTTGAACCAAAATTGGCTCTTAGAAGGTTCAACGTTTTGCTTTTATTTTTCATAATTTTTTTTACTGTTTACCATTCGTGGAGCTGAACTTATAATAGAGCTCGATTTTTTTCTACCTACCTAAAAAAATTCACTTTTGGTCAAGAGTTATGGTGATAGTTCTGGTCAAATTCAGTTTGCTCGAGTAGAAAATTAAGAGCTCAGTTTGTACTAGTTTCTTCATTGTACCTTGGAGATTAACGTTCAAAAACCTTGTGCACTTATGGTGAAAGAGTGAATATGTTTTAAGGACACTGTATAATGGGCATGTTTGTTTTTTATTCTCAAATTCTACACTAAATCAATTCTCATTTTCAACCACACATTTTTCAATAAAATAATATTTTCCATCACATCAATAATTTTTTCTTCTTTTTCAACCACACATTTCTCATCATATCACTATTCAAAAATCAATTCTTCCCCCAAAAATCTCTACCAAACAAGCACAATATAAGTTTGCAATTCTGTTTTCTCTTTAGCGATTAGTATTTTCTTGTAGTTCTTGATTTCCTATTTTGTTCTTTCTATATTTAATAAGAATATAAATATATTGTGCAATATTTATAACAATATTTAGATCCCCTTATAATCTATGTATTAACAAAAATTTAAATTGGCACCTCTAAAATCAATATCAGGACCGAGCGAAAGAAGAACCAATTCTCTACCACCAAGGAAGTGTTACGTACTCTATGACATATCTTTCCTTTGGCCAATGGAAGTTTACAGTAAAAGAAAATGTCATGGAATTAGTCATTCGTTAACCTAAAATGTTTTATACAAGTATATAGCTGTAGAAAGAATGATCATTTTTTCAAACTTTTAGGGTGTTTGATTGTAAGCATGAAATTTGTATAAAAATAAAACAAGTTCTAGGCAATTGAATTGTCTACAACTTATTTGCATAGAAATTATTAATTAAACGTGTTTGATTAATTTAATTTTCAAATTAGAAAATGTTATGCCTGTTCATCTTTTATTGGTGGGTAGATGAGAGAGAGAATTGTCCAAAACATAAAATTATCACTCCCTAAAAAAAAGATTTCCTTGTTTTTGAAAAAAAAATGGTCACGTGACCAACTTTTGTTGAATATGTTCCATGAAAAATGTCGATCAAACACTAAAAAAAAATAGAAATTTGAGTCCTCTATTGAAAGTCAACTATGGATCTTGCTAGGCGAAGTTTGTACATACAGAGGCAAGATTGAAACCAAAAGTTGGCCTTATAGAATGTTAGCATCGTGCCATCTGCTTAGACTACAAAAATCACTTCATACGATAATATATATACTTATATGTTTGCTTAGACATAGAGAGAGAGAGAAAGAGAGAGAGACATCTACACCTTGAAATCAATAAGTTTGGATAATCTTTGAAATTTTATCATAGTGGAGATCATTGCAATTGTTGATATTCAACAACAAAACTCGCGTTGACTACGTCTTTGCCCTTTATGTACACCGCGATCGCTCCTACCGATTGAATGGTCCAATGAAGTGTTCAGATCGCAATCTAGAACACCAATACTTCTTTTATTTAACAAGGCTCTTCCAAGACAAAATGATTGCATTTGGCCTATACTCTAGTGTTCTCCATACACAATTACTGTCAAAACCATACTTTTTATTCGTTTTCAAGGGATAAATTGAATTTGCAATTTTTCCAAGACATGCTCAGTGTTATATACCTTGACATAATATCATATGTCATTTCATCATTGGATTATTTTAAACACTATCAACTTTTTCATCAAATCATATGCTGTTATCGTGAATTGTGTCACTGCATCTATTAAATTTCTTTTGGCAAAGTGAAAAAATCATTTTTGCAATGACTAAAACAGTGGAAAATTATAAACTGACACGTAGTTTTGTATGGATATAGAAACGTTTTAAACTGTGGATAGATGCAGGGTTGCAGAAATTTTGAATGCATTAGTTATTGGAGAAATTTTGAATGCTTTAATGTTATAAATTCGAATTAGGAATATTGAATAAGGGCATTGCTGACAACAACAAAAAGTATAATGACAAAATGAGAAATTGAATATTTCTCACATATTCACACATTTTATATATTGTATATGTAGATATATTTATTAAAATAAATTCATTAATGAATGATTTTTTTTTTCTTTTATATTTTTCTTTTCAATTTTTTTTTCTAATTTTATAACTGATTACTTAAGGATAACTATATTCACAGCATAATTTTTATTTATTGCATCACATTTTAATTACATTTAAGTTATTTAATCTTTGTTCATCATAACACTTATGTTCCTAATGATTTTTCATGTTATTCTTATCCCCAAACTTTCCATTTATTAATACATTTTGTATTTGACAATAATTTTATGTCCAAAAGTTCACCGAAATAACGTAAATAACTTATTTTTCAATCAATTTTTTTAAAAAAATAAATTAATAATGCGAAAAAATATTTTGCCTTCGTTTCAAAGTATGAAAATAAAATATTTTGATATAAATCATTATCAAGAACAAGACACATTAATTAATGAAAGGTTGAAAATAAGAATTCAACTGAAAAAATTAAGAAAATAAATGCGACAATGATCAAAGATTGAAAAACTAAACAACAATTAAAATGTAGTGTATCAAATAAATATTGTGGTAGCAATATAATTACCCTTAAAATATATTTTAATGGATAACCCTGGGTAGACAATTTTGCCCTTCAATATCAGTCCAATAGAGGACAATAGACCCATTTAACGGCTATTTTGGATGAAACCGTCCATATGGACAAATCTTACTTATTCTTGGTGGTAATAATGTCACCATAATTTTTATTTGATACATCATATTTTAATTACAATTAAGCATTTGAATGTTTGCTCATCGTAACAATTTTTTTTGAGTCGAATTCTTATCTTCAATGTTCCATTAACTAGTACGTCTTGTTCTTGATAATGATTTATAGCAAAATATTTTATTTTCATACTTTGAAATGAAAGAAAAATAGTTTTTCCCATCATTTATTTATTAAAAATATGAAATAAAAATAAATTATTTTACGTCGTTTCAACGAACTTTTGAATATAAAATTGTTTTCAAATATAAAATATGTTAATTAATGAAAAGTTTGAGAATAAAAATGACATGCAAAATCGTTTGGGACACCGGTGAATGAGCAAAGATGAAAAGTGAAATTGACCTATTTTTAATGTTATTCACAGTGATAACTAACTGCATTATCTCATCGTTTGGCACCTACATCGTGGGGATGCAGATCAAGGCTGTTTAGATAGCCTGAATAACTGAAGTCTAAACCAAGGATGTTGGTAAAATTGAAAAATTGTAGTAAAACTCTTAATCTCTATAATGCTTTCAATGTTCCTACTTTTAAGGATTTATACATAGGAACTTTAAGGAAATAAATTACTAGAGTTGATAGCTAACTGGGACTTTTGAAGATTAAAGGAGTCATGTATGGAAACTATAAAACTATTATCTCCCTAGTCAGACCGTGGCCGACGCGGTAGGTTGAGTTCGAGTATTTTCTTAAGCGTAGAAAACCACGACAATTTGGCCCGGCCTCGTCCCAAATACACTTGGGTGGGCATTCCCGACCCATTTGCAGCCTCTAACCAATGCAATTGATTGAATGGATGGGAACTAACATAAATAGCTGTGTTTTTCACTTAACCAAAATAGATCAAAAATGTATTACAACAATGAAATATCTGGAAATTGATATCTAGAGATTGAATATGAATGCAATCCTTACACACTGTGACAAGTAACAATAGAACAAGACACTGATGTAGTCAGAGCTTCAGTGATAAATCTAACTCCAAGTCTTGACATTGCTGTTTAGTTGAACCAGGGATTTGACTGTTAGTCTCAGCTCTGGCATTTGTGTCGTGGATGCATTGCGAAGAACAAGCAGTTGAGAGACCTGTATACATGCCCAACATTGTCCCTGCATTGGAACTGGTTGTTCCAAATGTTGAATTCAAAAAATTTTGTGGGTGATTTTCCATTCCTGGCAAGGGTGCAATAAATTGGGAATCTGTCAAGTGGGGATTTAACCATATGGGGTAACCATGGGTAAACCCTTGAAGGGGTTCAGGGGCATGAGACTCTTGAGTCATTGATAGATTGAAATTTGGATGGCTGTTGACAAGAATTCCATACTGCATGGATTGAGGATTATACGACCTATTTGCCATAGACTGTTTAAAAATTTCTGGACCTCTGTTGAAAGAACCCTTAAAGAGGAGATGTATCATGCCGCGATAGGAGGGACCCCCTACATGTCGGAAATTAGTCTCGAGCCCTTCTCGTGCATTTCTTTCTATGACTCGCTCAACTGTGTGGGCATTTTGGTGCCCACCTAATGCTTGTTTTGTGGAAAACTTCTTATGGCAATAATTGCAACCATATACCCGTTCAATTACATGATCGGTCACATGCATAGCATCAAGAGTTGTTGATGCTCTTGGATAACTTAATTGAGCAGAGTCTGTTGAGTGGCGTGCAAGTTTCAGCTTGCGATTCATTACTGCTCCTGTGCCTGCACGTTTTTTGTCTACTGTCTCGCTTGGAGACTGTTTCAATGTTGCAGGAGCATATGACATAGCTGGGCTGTTAACCTCGGCTCTAGGCGATTCCAATGTAGGATGGAAAATTGACAAGTTTATTTGTTTTTAGGAAAGGTGTTATTCTAATTTATATAGGGAAGAATTTAATGTCCGTATTGTTATGCAGATATGAATCAGATTTTACGGCCCTAAGATGCTAAACTACTTAATACGATGTAAGACACAACATTATTCGGAGTTCTAAAACTATTGATATGCCATCAAAGACCATTCCTTATCAGTTTACAAGAAATTATGCCCATTTCATTTTCCATCTTTAGACAAATCTCCAATAAGTTGATTAATGACTACATTATAAGGGAAAAAATTACCAAATATACATTGTGATACTTTGAAATTATATCTAATTCTTATATTTTATTCATAAATTTAATTATCATAATTGAAAATTAATATTTCTCCATGTCTGTGTTGTATCGTATCTAGGTCATTCATATGTATCAGTGCTTCTTGAGCACGTAAATTAATAATGGAGGAAGTTCTTTAATTTGATTCGTTTTATTAACATAATTGAAAATTATTTGTCTTCATATCTGTTAAGGGATAGAATTCCACATCGAATACAGATGTAAACATAAATCAACTTATAAATGATTGAGTTACTTCTCTGATTAAGGTTGACTTTTTAAGATAAAACCTCAATTCTTAACATGGTATCAAAGCCCATTAAACTCTAACGAGCAATTCGATCCGGTTAAAACTCCAAAAGTAAGCAATACGGATTTCAAGATTGGTGTGCTCAAACGAGCCACTATCTTGTGGGGGCATGTTAAGAGATAGAATCTCACATCGAATAAAGATATAAATATAAATTAACTTATAAATGATTGAGTTACTCCTCTTAATAAGCTTGACTTTTTAAGACAGAACTTTAATTATTAACAATATCCTTATTATATTTTATCCATGCCGTGCATTGATATCCACTATCCATGAGGAAATTCTTCGATTTAATGGTATTTTATTCATACATTTTATTATCATGATTGAAAATTAATATATGTCCGTATCCGTATTGTATCCATATCCATGCTACTTAGGCACTTTGTCTAATAATTGACGAGATTCTTTAATTTGATAGTTCAGAAATTGAGGGAATAGATGAACATAATATTAATAATTGCATACATATCTCTCACTAAGTGACACTCATGGATATCAATTAAATATAATGTTCAACTTGTATTGTATGTTTCCAACACTGTCCTTTCTGCAATTATCTTTATTTAAAATTCTCAAAAAAATGTTTTTGTAATCAATTTCGTTCTCTTCCCTCAATATTGGGTATTTGACTTGATTCTATTGGGTATTTTAGGTTGAATTTTGTTGCTTTCACCTGTCTCTGCTTTGGATTGTGGTCATTCAACGTGGAATCTTCCATTGATGATATGAAAATTATTCTTGTTCGCCTCCATGGTTCAAACTAGGCACACTGGAGCTTTGCAATGAAAAACCTGTTGATTGGAAAAGACTCGTGGGATGTTGTTGATGATACAAACTATGAAACCAGATTCAAAGGATGAGAATTTAAGAAACTTCAAAAAAGATGGGTGTTTGATAGGCTCCAATCCACCTTACGCATTCTAGAAGGACCTAGAAGAAGAATAACCTAACAAATGGGTGGAAAACTTGTCCGTTAGAGAGTAAAAATGTGGGCTCATTGTATTTCCTTTATTTCTGTAATTCATCTTGTAGTCAATACAGTTTTATAATTTCTACAATTATTCATTTGTTTCATTGAATCTTCATCTGGTTCCTATCAGTGTGCTACAATACCAAGATAATGACTTGGATTAATAATTCAGTTGAGAGTTCAATTGGTGTTCAACTTTTGAAATTTGAATCGACAAAAGATTCATGGGATTGCTTGAAAAAAATATATCTACAATCAAATTTTGCTCGTAGATATCAGCTTGAGATGGAAATTTAAGAGAAAAACAAGGTGAACAATCTATTCAACAGTTTTTCTTTTATATGATGGAAATTTGGGATCAACTTGCATTGATGGATCCTCTGGAACTCATATCTTATGGTTATAAAAAGAAATTTATAAAGAATGAAGGTTCGTGGATTTTTTGATAGCACTTAGAGATGATTTTGAGGCTATAAGTGTTTCTACGATACATTGCAACCCTTTCCCAAGTCTTCCTTCAGTTCTTCTTGAGTTACTTGCTAAACGAAAATGTAGACATCTTTTCGAAACTGCTCATTCATCACTTTTATGTTGTTTTCTTTGTTCATGTTTCAAGTGCTTATCTTATTAATCAAATACCTTCTATTGTCTTTGGAAGTGTATCTCCAAATGAGCATCTCTATTGAAGTTCACCAAATCATGACACTTTGAGTGTTTCTGGTAGTGATTTTTTTCGTGACTTTACTCGTATAAAACTTTCTGTTCATTCGTCATTATGTGGATTTTAAGTATTTTTAGGCTAGGGTATTCAAGTAAAATGATATCGTTGTTACTCCTAGAGACAAATCATCTTTTTTGTTTCTAGATACGTTTTCTTGAAAAAAATACCATACTATCAAGTTCCAAAACTTGTCAACATTTATCCCTTTACAATTTGATGAGCCCGATGAAGATGTTTCTTCTAATGTGGATTTACCTTTGTCTTCCAATAGTCATCCTCTTATTTGTCAAGTGTATTCACGCAAGAATTTACAAGAATTAGCATCTAACGCTCGAACTTATGATGGGTCAATCTTGCCAGACCCCATAGATGTTGTGTATCCACCACCACACACTCCTTACTATACAACTAGCCAGCGCTGCCCACCTAATCCGTATAGCCATCCTTCAGTTTTTCTTTTCCTCCAATTTGTATCCACCACCACACACTCCTTAATATACAACTAGCCAGCGCTGCCCACCTAATCCGTATAGACCTCCTTCAGTTTTTCTTTTCCTCCAATTCTTACAATGCTTTTCTGTTTAACATTCAATATTTTTTTTAAGCAAAGTCATATAAAGATTTAATATTAGGCCTATGTTTGTTTCCACTACATTTGCACAAAAGATGAGAATTTTTACTGTTGGAATAGTGCCTAGTCGCAATAGTTGACCATTTTTGTGAGTGAGTGGGCCCCACCATTTTGAAATAAACGGTCAAATTTCTCATTTTATTGTTGAGAGTAGTGGATACAAACAGGGGCTAGATCCGAATTAGAAAATGACCATTGAGGAAGAACTTCATGCTCTTCAAAAGAAGATAGGTACTTGAGAGTTGGGTCTCTTTGCTAGAAGATAAACTTGTGATTGGTTGTAAATGGGGTTTTAAGGTTAAAACTCGAAAGTTTAGAGAGATATAAGGCTCGTCTTATTGCAAAAGGTTATGCGCAACAAGATGGAATAGATTATGATGAAACATATGATCCGATTGCTCAAATGAAGACAATGAGTAACCTCCTCTATTGCTTCAATTCGAAAATGGAACCTTTTCCAAATGGATGTGAAAAATCTTTCTTGGTGATCTAATAATTGGGGAAGTAAGTGTAGATGAAACCACCACCTGGTCTACCAAATAACTGGCCAAGATCTATGTTGTACTTTCTATTGCCTGAAATAGACCCCTCGAACTTGGTTTGAGAAGTTTAGCTCCACTTTACAACTTCTTGGTTTTCATTTGTTATGATAATGATTGCGCTATGTTTGTTAGACATACTTCCAATGGGTGCATTATCATTTTTATTATACGTCAATGATGATACGATCGTTACGGGCGATTATGATCAAGGTGTTTCTTCTCTATATTTTTGAGATGAAAGATTTGGGTTATTTGCGTTATTTTCGTCATGTAGATGTTGCTTACTCTCCCCAAGGATATATTTTACCTCGATCCAAGTATGCCAATGATATCATGACTCATGTCAGTATGTCTTTTGACTCTTCAATTGAGATGAATTGTAAGATTAAAAGATAGAGGCCTTTAACCAATCCGACAAGAGATAGGGGAAGTAGTTGGATCTCTTGTTTATCTTACCATAACTCGCACCAAATATTACATACGTTATGCATGCCAGTCAGTTTCCTACTGCTCCAAGGGCCTTTCAGTGGCCTGTTGTTTTACGTATCTTGAGATATTTACGAGGCACTCTCCACCATGATTTTTTATTATTATATTCTTCATCTGATCTAACTCTTATCTTTCATGTTGATTGGGCGGGTGAGCCTTCAAGTAGGGAGTCTACTACATGTTTTGCATTTTCTTGGGTGATTCTTTACTTTCTTGGAAAAGTAAGGAATAATTGGTCGTGACAAGATCTTTTGCAGAGTTTGTATCCAGTTGTGCCTTCTACTGCTACTGAAATTATTTGGTTTTGATGACTTCTTGATGAGCTCGGTGTTCCTAAAACCAATGCTATTCCTATGTTCTATATCACAGTGCTATCCATATTGCTAAGAATTCAGGTTTCCATGAGTGCACAAAATATATTGAGATTGATTGTCTCTTTGTTCGTCATCAATTCTTGGCAGGCATCATCTCTCTTCCTCACCCCTCCTTTGCCGTTTATCTTGCTGAATTTTTTTACTAAATTCCACAAAACTTCTCGATTTCGACATCTTGTGGGCAAACTCAATATGGTTCAACCATCATGAGTTTGACGGGTTGGATTCCTTCTTTGCTAAATTTACATTGCTTTACTGAACTTCGACATACACATGATTAAAACTAACAGGCATATGAAGATATCAAAGAAAAATGTTCAATCAAAAATGATTCTGCTTCCAAACATCAAAACCCCACATGCCACAATTTATATTTGCTTAACATTTAAGAATTATTACTAGTAGGTGAGACCAATAGCTTTTCTTGATGGAAAAAAAGGAAGAACCATAGGAAAGAATGTGCAAAGGAAGGGCAAATGGTAATTGATTTTGGCTTATAATTATGTTAAGCATATTGAGGCACATGACTGCCCATCATTTGGTCTTTGGTACTCCACCATTAAATATTTATTATCTTTATCCACTG